TGCACTGTTAAGTGTGTATATAAACCACTATTTAAATACAGTAATTTCTCGGGTGGTAGGTTGGCTCTATCCAAATATTTGAAGTCTGTCATGTTTAAGTCTCTGTTCAGATGCCACTCTAACAACTCTCTTTTGGGTTGTTAGTGTAACTTGTACATGAGACATTTAGCACAGCAATCTAGGTATTTACTGTTTGAGATAAGAGGATCTGGTTAAACTCCTCTTAAAGGAACTGAACCAGCCATTAAAATATCACTGAAACGACAGATTATGTGTACAAAGCAGCTCTGTTATACAGGTGGCATACCTCTGGGTGCACACTTTATTACATAACATGCCTGACTTGGGCTTTATTGTCAGCTGTGCTGGGAGTGAGCTGTACAAACCCCATTAGTTAGTTACTCAGGTGAAACAAAGCAGGGGGTTGATATAGATTTCTGTCTTGCAGTCTAGGTTTAAGACTTTGCTCAATAGCTGATGGGAGTTGAATGGAATTAATATCTCTTTACTATTAATTTGTATTCCAGAAAAGCCTAGAGGTTTTAATGTAGATTTATAGTTTTAGGCACTGTGCAAACTTCAGGTTCAGTTTTGTAATGCACTGGAATACTGCTGTGCCTGGCTAGAGCCTGCTAACTTCAGCAGGACCCTGTGGTGCAGCCAGTTGAGATCAGAGCCATTCTAAGGCAAATCCCCCTGTCTCAGAAGCCATGCACTTGTCTACTCTATTTAGGAAAAAAATGTAGGTATTTGGTAGGCAGAGTGATAGTTTACAAGTAATGAAGTCTCATAGATTGCATAGACATTAGGGCTGGAAGGGACCTCACAAGATCATTGGGTCCAGCCCCTGCCCAAGTTCTGATAGCATTTTCTTTTAAAATGGCGTGGTTCTTATTGGTTTTGCTTAATTTTAATGTATTTTAAATATTACACAGGATATATGTGAATTAAGAGAGAGAACAGCAGGGAAGAAAGTCAGCAGAAATTTCCTGGTAGGAGAAGGGTGATGGCAACAATATTAACTTTTTTTTTCTTTGTTCTGTTTAGTTTTAAATTCTGTGTAGTGGTCACAGAATGATGCATCTGTGTCAGAACCCGGGCATAATGCTCATTTGTGTAACTGGCATATGTTTTGAACACTGACATAAGTAATACCAGCATATAGAATAGATTTTGGGGTAGCTGCAGACAGTATGCACCTATTATCTGCTCCCTGACCACCGTATGTGGTGTTGTTAAAGCTTGCTTATGTGAACGGCTATTCTGAGGTAAGCTGTGGACACACGAGATATTTACAAGTATAACTTACACCTATATCTTTTAACCCTAATGTACCTGTTAGTGGTTCTCTGCTAGGTGTAAGTTACAGTAGAGTAGGGCTCTATATTGTATGCCTGTTCCTTTTATTCACTGGTCTAAATATGTTGTGCCCCAGTCCTCAGTAGGTTTAGGCATTGTAATAAGAATAGGAAACAAGACAGACTTCTAGCAGGTTCTGCTCTGTGAGAGCCTGCAGTGGTTTATGCAGCTTATAACACAGCCAAACCTATGTAGGTTTTAATGAAGAGAGTAAATACAGATCCTTGAACACAACATTAACTCTCTGCCAAAATTCAAGTCCCTGCCCCAGACCATATAAGAACCTTTTAAAAATGGAAACTCTTTTAAACATTATGAAATAAATTTTTCATCAGCACTTTGGACATGGTCAAACAATATTTGCTCAAGTAGTCCATAAACTTTGATCTAAAGCAGACATTAAAGCTGGAAAACTTTAGCCAAAAGGGTTAATTTGCCAAAGGTGTAAGCAACTAAATACAGTAGAGGGTTAAATGATGTTAGGCAAGCTTAATACAACTGTCAGTGCTAAGAATTAAATGCATGATTTCCAGTTTTCCTACTGGACAGTGGAGAAAGGCTTTTAAGATAATTGTTCCATTAAAGGGAAGGTTTTCAGACCTGATGAAGCTTGGGAGCCAGGGAGAAGTGGGGAGCATGTGCAGAAGAGGAACTGGCAGGTTACTTATTCCTATTTTGCTTCCTGTGCCAAATTCTCCATTTCAGGGGTGGTCTCCCAGCTGTTACTGGGTGTGTAAAAGGGTAAAGAGTCTTCATGACTGAAAGATTGTCTCCTGTTTCTTTTGTTGGCTGTGAAGATTTGGGCCCATAGGAGAAGGATGGAGGTAGAGTGCTTGCTGCACTGCTGCAAGGGCAGTAGCATTTGTGTATTGAGAATGACTGACTTTTTTGCTTGGGGGCTGAGGGGATTGATGTATTGAGTAGAAGGAATGGAATTGTACTGATTTATTGAAGTGAGAGACTAAGGATGATGGGCACTTTTCACCCAGGATAGTAAGTTCTTAGGAGTAGATGTTGGTGACAGTATTTCAAGTTCTGTAGATTTGAATTTACTAAATGTTAAACACTAGGGCTAAGTACAGATGGTCAAAAAGCCCAAGGCTGAATTGATTCAGTCTTTAGTCTAAGATGCATAGATTAAACTAATAAGCAAGTTAATAGGCATATACTTTTTATTCTGGAAATGCAGCCATGTGCCTGAAGTGGCCCAGGCCAAAGGGGGGAGGGTGCTAGAGCATGCCTTCTTGCTTAGTTGGAGCAGAAAGTTTGGGCCAATGCTAGCCTGCCCACCCATCTTGCGAGGTGGGCTTTGCAGGGAAGGTGCAAAGCGCCTTGGGATGCTGGGGCAGTATGAACTAACTTGAAGCTGGAGGAGATCTGGGACAGAAGTTCAATAAACTGATTTAACCTGGAAAAGCGCAGGCTCAGGGGTGATCTGATGGCCACCTATAAGTTTATCAGGGGTGACCACCAGTACCTGGGGGAATGTTTGTTCACCAGAGCGCCCCAAGGGATGACGAGGTTGAACGGTTATAAACTACTGCAAGACCGTTTCAGGCTGGACATAAGGAAGAATTTCTTTACTGTCCGAGCCCCCAAGGTCTGGAACAGCCTGCCGTCGGAGGTGGTTCAAGCACCTACATTGAACACCTTCAAGAGTAAATTGGATGCTTATCTTGCTGGGATCCTATGACCCCAGCTGACTTCCTGCCCTTTGGGCAGGGGGCTGGACTCGATAATCTTCTGAGGTCCCTTCCAGCCCTAATGTCTATGAAATCTATGAAATCAATTTGGTCTGATTGCTACAACAATCCAGGCTCATCTTAAACCAGTTTCAGCCATTTTGAAAGCAGTTTAAGTGCACTGAACTTCTGTTGTGTTATAGATTGGAGCCAGTTCCCGATCACTTATTCTGGTTAACGTATATTTTCTGTCCCTAGCCACAGTCTCGTGTTTGCAGTAGAGAAAAACTGAACACCTTGTTGAAGTTTATCCGTGAAAAAACTGGCCTGTTCTTTTGACCACCCTTTCCCTTTTATTAGTTGACTTTTACCAGGCTATCTCCTTGAACAAATCACATTATTAGACTCTTTGTAATAAGAAGACTATGGGGAAAATTGCTTAAATGGGAACTTAAAAATAAGTGATCATTTTTGCACTATGCGAGGGGAGTAGGTACAAGCTGCATAGATTGAACCAATAAGCAAGTGAACAGACATACTTTTGATCTAGAATTTATTCTGTTCACAAAGAAAATACTGCAAGTGGAATGGATATTACTGTTATAGGTAGTTCTAAATAGAATGTATTTTCCCACAAAACATAGGAATACAAAAAATCTTTTTAGCCATACAAGGTCTTTGTTGTGCTTTATGTAAAAAGTTTTAGGGGATCTTTGGGCAAGGAACAAAGGCATACTTTCCATATAAACAGCACACCGAAACTGTTCTGTTTGGGTGCCAGTACATTTGTTTGTTTTTGAAGACTTACCTGGTGAACTTGCAAAGTTCTTCAGTGCTCTAAGAAACTGCTGAGGCAGTTGTCTTCCTCTGAAACACTGGGATGTTCATTGGCCAGGGTTTCTTGGCTGAGTGTCAGCACTTAAAAAACTCAGAGCTTCCTGACTGGAAGGTCTTGCTCTTCTGCTTAGGATCATACCATTTACCAAATATGGGTCAAGAAGGAATTTTTCCTGAAGGACAGATTGACACAGAGTGGTAATGGTGGTGGTATAGAGTGAGGATCCCTTTTCCTGAGATGTTCTGAGCATGTATAAACCAGTTATACCTGTCTGCTGTAATAGCGGTTTATTAGCGGTGTCCTTGTCACCCCTGCTTTTACTTGTAGCATATGACATGGTCATTTAAAAATTGAGTCTTGTAGTTGTGAGGGTTTAAAATGGTTGTTTGGGGGATTCTGTGGGCAAATGGTGGCCAGCAAGTGCGGAAGAGGCATTTGGCCCTGAAGGTCCGTTCTAGTCCTGTTTTTCCTATATTTTGGTAAATACACTAATAAAATACAGTAAGTATGTTACAGATATAAGGGCTTCCTTTGCTAGTCCTTGCTTGTATGAGTAATCTCATTAACTATTTTTTGCTGTTTGAGTCGGCGGTCGTAGGTCCAAGTCTATCATTTAACAAACCATGGAACCTTTTTATGATAACTTATTTACAGGTGGAATGTAGACGTGTTTCTCTGATACTTCTGTTTTATTGCAATTAAGATTAGAAACCTGATTAGGGAGAAGGGAGATTTTTGTCTAAAGCTTATGTTTTTTTCTTGTAGTTTGTTTCCTACCTATGGCATACAGTTATATATGCAGCACATTCATGTGTGTACAAGACGCCCGTAATCTAGTGCATGCTGACTTTATGATGGAAGAGAAAGCATTCTCACATAGTTCATAGTTCGCTCAGTTGCAGTCACCTTGGTTAACAGGCACTTAAAGCTTACCTATAAATTGCCTGCTGGGGCAGCTGTACTGTTCTGTGTGTAAATAGGATATATTTTTGGTATTTGAAATTTTAAGTTGTACATGTATTATGAAATATTTAAAATGTATTTTTCTGGGCTTTTGTCTTTTAAAAGTGCCAGAAATAAATGTGCATTCCTTCATCCTAATTGTTTGTTTGTTAATTCAGGGTTGCATATGATGAGGCTTTTATTATGGCCAGTGACCCCTTGGAAGGCTTTCATGAAGTGAACCTAGCTTCGCCCACTACACCAGATCTTCTTGGCGTATGTGAGTCAGGGACTCAAGAACAAACTACCTCTCCCAGCGTTATCTATCGGCCCCACCCATCTGCTGTGTGCTCCCCACCTATTCAACCCAATGCATTAAATGTTTCTGATCTTCCCACACAACCTGTTTATTCATCTCCCAGGCACTTAAATTGTGGAGAAACATCGGGTATCAGGTAGGTTGCTCAACTACTGTTGATAATGACCAACATCATTTTATTTAGGTAAACTAGCAAAATGTGTTAGTTTTAAATGGTTTATATAGCATTTTTAATAAAACATTATGAATATCTTTAACTTCCTGTGTTTATGTTTACTGTGGTACATCTAACAGCAAAACTGACAACTTTAGGAGAGTTTTTGTTTAATTAAAGAAATGTCACTCTCTTTACAGCATCAATGTTACCGACACGGTACCTTGTTCTACCTCTGGACCCCAGAGTGGGTCATTCAATCACAATAATTCCAGAAAGGAGAGCAATAATGCAGAGAGAGAGTTTTTGCAGGGTGCTACAGTAACAGATGTTCGTGAAGGGACTGAAGATATTTTTGGTCTGAGTACAGACAGTCTGTCTCACTTACGGAGCCCATCTGTACTGGAAGTAAGAGAGAAGGGCTATGAAAGACTGAAAGAAGAACTTGCGAAAGCTCAAAGGGTAAGATTTGTCTTCCTTCTGTTCTGTAATGGTCTAGAACTATAGGTGGGACAGAAGATGCTGCTGAACCCCCCATGTTTTTCAGGATTGTTACAGCATGACTGTTGTTGTTCTGAATAACTACAATGATGCTTCAGAAACCTCCTTTGATAGGATTTGCTGGTACTGGTTTTTCTTATGAAAAGCTTTTGCTGTTCTCTGTTTAAATATTTTTCCCTAAAAGGAGGGGTGGGGGGACAGGCATTCTTTCTTTTTGACTTTTAAGAAAAATTTCCTTTGATGGCACTTATCTTGTAGATAGATATTTTATAGGTGTGGATTTATGTACCTTTTGAGTCTTCGCTCTTCCGTTTTACAAAAATTCAGTGACATAGACTGTAGAACTATTTTAACACACAGGTAACTGTATATTACAGTTATGTATCATAGGAATGCCTGTGTACAGAAGACCAAATAAAAATGTCATCGGCATTCTTTAGAGTACTGCTGTATCACATTCCAAATTGAACTTGATGTCTTGTTAAAACATGACTGAGAACCTGGAAAACTGTTCCACTTCTGTTTTTACCACAAACTTATGTGACCCTGGGCAAAATGCTTATCTTCAGCTTCAGTTCTTTATCTGTAAAGTGTCAGTAATATATTAGCTTTGCAAGTGTGCTGAGGCATAATTCATTAATATTTGTAAAGCACTTTGTCGTCTTTGGATGGAAGGTGCTATATAAATGCAGAGTATTATTTATTTATTCTCTCTCTCTCTCTTTCGCTCTCGTTGTTTCCTTCTAGATGTTTTCCTGTTTGTGCCTGCAGTTTTTTTTCTTTCTGTACATGTGAGACTACGTTTATTTGCATCATCCTGCCACATTTAGATCAATCTTCCTGTGTATACTTGTTACCCCTTTAGCATTAAATGTTGTCATTAGTTTTATGTTGCAGTTACCCATTCATTAATCATTTGTTAATGCAGACCTTAAATATGGTTTCTCATACTGTTTCTTCTATTGATATTTGGTCACTGAATAATTGCTGTTTCTGCATAGTCCAATTTTAGGTCTTTTGCTTGGGTGATTTATTTAGTTGGGAGTCAGCAGAAAAAATAATTAACCTTCCGTTAATTTGGAGGGCAAGTTACTCACTTCAGTTAGGAAGCTGTCATTTTGTTGTACCTGTCTAAGGTTAAACTTTACAGAAGAACCAGAACACTTAAGAATGGAAAATGCAACCCACTTCAACTCAGCACGTCTTTTCCCCCTGCTCCTTCCAACACACACTTTCTTATCGCTCTTTACACATTTTCTTATTGTACCCATATTAGGGCACAGTAAATTAATTAACTCCACTATAGGATAGTGCTGTCTGGGACAAGTACTATCCTATAGCAGAGTAATTTATGTCACCACAACGCATGTGTAGATGGTGACCGGGGCTAGCTGGGGCATGAGGGTGCTGCAGTGTGGGAGCTGCCTGCCAGTATCCGTGCACTGTAACATCCTTGTGCCTTTGCCACCCACCACTGCCACTTGGAGCCTGGGGCTGACCTCCAGGTCCCCTGCCAGCCTGGGGCTACTCCACCCTGATTTTGCATGTTGCAGTCTCAGGTGCATGTGTAAACACTGTGCCTGGGAGAAATAAACTCCAGTGCAAACACACATGCATATATATGCGGCGTGTCTGTGTGTGTGCACGTGTGGTTCTCCCCATGTGAAAACAGTTACCCATTAGCACTCTTACACCTGCAGCAGTTGTAAAAGGTATAATTAGCAGTAGCTTTTGCCTTAATATTTCCTCTTTCCTGTCGCCAAACAATTCTGAAAAAATAAAAAAAAAAAAAATGAAGACTGCAGGAATAAATTGTTCCTTTCATGGCAAGCTCTGCTTGCCAATTCTCTGCTTGATTTTCCTTTTCTTGATTTTTCTTTGTAGATGCGTGCTGCCTGTATGCTGTTAGTTCCCTCCTCCTTGCATCTGCCCCCAAAAGACATGGCCATTTATAAGAGGATTGTTACTCTGTTGTAAGGTTTCTGGGTACTATGCACACTTTGAAATTCTGCTTTGGTTATAGACATGTTTAAAAATGTCTGTGTACTTTAGATATGCATTTATATAATTCATGGAGTGGCTTCAGTGGAAGTATATAGGTGTTTCTGCATTTCTGAACATGCCTTTAAAATCACTCCTCAAAACCTCTGTGAACTATTTTGAGACTACGGTGAGCCTAAAGAAAAGTTTGGAAATTTTTCCAAAAGGAAATAAAATATAATTTAGGATTCTGGCATCTTACATGCCTTTTCTAATTTGCTTTGGATTCTTTGCCCAAACTTTAAGCTGTTATGGCATCTGGCATGCAATATTTGCTGTATATTATTTAAATTTTCTGAAATTGTTATGTATGTGCATGTCTGTATGTGGGGGAAGAATTCAGAAGTTTGAAACTAATCTGATAGTGGGTAATGAGCAGTAGGCCTGTGTGAATAGGGAAGTATTCGATTTAAATTCGACTGATTCGGAAGACAGTGATTTGATTCGGATCACTGTCCCAAATCGATTCAGCTGAATCGGCTTCGAAATATTTGGTGCCGATTTTGGAGATTTGGCCATAGACTATAACGGGGAATCACTGAAATACCTATAATTTTGTAATTTTTTGGTTGATTTGGATAAAAATTGCAAGGTGATAGCTCCTTCTGAGGGCATGAAGCCTGCCAAGTTTCAAGGAGATAGGTGCAGGGGTTTCTGGGAAACTGCACCTCTGGCTACTGACAAGCAAAACTTGTGACATGGGTGATTGTATGTTAAGGCGTGCCCTCACTGGTGCTGGGGCATGGTAGTGTGCCCCAATTAGGTCTCTTCCTCCCCTACAGCCTCAGTCCGGTCCACCACCTTAAATAACAATAGGTAAGCACAGTAGCACTAGCATCTCAGGCACCCAAACTGTCACAGAGCCTTTCTTTCCTTTTCTGCAGGAGCTTCTTTTCCTGCAGCTGCCAGAGAACTCTCTCTGCCAGCCCCAACCCTAGGGCTTAGATGTGCCCAGGGCCTTGCCTCCTTCCGGTCGGGTGACCAGGGACAGGTGCTAGGGCTGTTGGTCTAAGGACATGGCACTGGTAGACAAGGTTCTTGGGTCAGTCTGGTATCTTTTAGTAGGCCAACTGAATAGTTGGAGAAATGTATCTTAACAAGCTTTCAGGTTGAAAAACCCTTAGTCAGGCTGAGGAAGCACCTGCAGTTGGTGTGTGCTCTTCCTGGATGGAAGGAGTAGTAGAGAAGCCAGAGGCTGGCATGCAATGCAGGCAATAAATCCAGTTAGTGAAAAGGGAAATGGAGGAATGAGGGGTGAGAGAGACAGACTGGGGCAGGGGGAAGGGAGATGTAGCAGGTAAAAGTGGAGAGGTACCTGGGGAGTCAGATGTCTGGCAGGTTGTAGTGTCATAAATCGACTGTCTATATTGAGTCCATGAGTTTCTGTATCTAGGAGGTTGATGAAGTGAAGTTCATAGGCCTGTCTGTGAAAAGTGGTTTGTAAATTCTAACAAGCACCAAACCTCGCTAACCTCATCATCAGAAGCGAACTTCCTACAGCCCAAAACACAAAACCTGCCAACATATCTCCAGTACCCCCACAAACTGTGCACCAGAAGCTATCAAAGACAAGAATACCCAACTACTTGTGGGGGCGCATTTCTCACAAAAAAACACTGCGTCTCCAGTCTCTCAAGCCTGATCCTCAAAGGGAATTTACAAACCACTTTTCATAGACAGGCCTATGAACTTTACTTCAGCAACCTCCTAGATACGGAAACTCACGGACTCAATATAGACAGTGGATTTATGACACATGACAACAACCTGCTGGACATCTGACTCCCCAGGTACCTCTCCATTTTTACCTGCTACATCCCCCTCCCCCCCAGCCTGTCTCTCTCACCCCGACTCCTCCACTTCCATTTTCACTGACTGGCTTTCTTGCTTGCATTGCATGCCATCCTCTGGCTTCTGTACTATTCCTTCCATCCAGGAAGAGCACATACACAAACTGCAGGTGCTTCCTCAGCCTGACGAAGGGTTTTTCAACCCAAAAGCTGGCATCCAAGGCAGCTAAGCTGAGCTCACTTGGAGCCTCACAACTGCACTGCAACCAGCAAGCTTCAGGTCTGTCAAAGATGTGATGGGTCTGGGCTTTCCACAGCTAAGACTGTGTGCGTGTGTGGTGGCTGGAGGTTATGGAGCCTCCTACGCGCCTTTCACCAGGGGGATCCTCGGTCCTGGCATTTTCTGGGGCTGTCGCACCACCGGCAGTCCCACCAGGCCTCCCGAAACTGGCAGAGTGCAGTTTTAGTGGTCATGCCCAGTACCTGGGTTCCCCTCCTTCCCCATAGCCCCAGCCCATACCTCCAAGTTCATCCTGGCGCAGGAGCTCAGCAGGGACATGTTCTTTCCCTGTGGGCTGGTGATGCAGTGAGTGCCGCCTCCAGCTCGGAGAGCGGGGCATTAAGTAGTTTAAAAAAAAAACAAAAACGGAAATAGGTGTGGATGGAATGAGGAGGGTGGCACTCACTCCATCTGCAGGTGGAGCTTAGGGAACCCCAGCAGTGGGAGGTTCACCTTGAGGAACACCAGCTGCTCCACCAAACCAGGATCCAAGGAGCTGCAGTGGGGTGTCACAACATCCCCTGCAATGCTGAACACCCTCTCACTCGGAACACTGGTTGGTGGACAGGACAAGTGTTCCTGGGCACCTGTGGCTAGATCCTGCCACATCTGGCTGCAGGTTGCCCAGTAGGCCAAGGGGTCACAGTCCAGTGGCTCCATGTCCTCGGTGAGATAGGTAGCCACTGAAGTCTCAGCACTACCTGCCCAAGGCTGTGGTCTGGTGTGCCTGGACCCCAACATTGAAGCCATGCCCTTGGCCCACATTGCTAGCGGATGGCATGGAGGAGACTGTCTGGTGCTGTGAGTGCTGGCACAGGAAAGTGGATCCCCCTCTTCCGTGTCCCCTCACC